CCTGCTGGGGGCTCTGCTCCAGATTGGGACTGGACCAATCAGGAAGCCTGAAAAGTTAGTTCTCTCTCAGGTCCTCTCTTTCACCTCAACAGTAGGTCAGGGCGAAGCTGCCTTCCTTCTGCCTTCCCCTGATTGGTAGGGAAGGGAAAACTGCTTCCACCAATGGGGTCCCGAGCCCTTCGGACACAAGCTAACAATCCGGGCTTCCATTGAGGCCACCGGCCAGCCTGCCACACAGGTTTTCTGCATTCAAAGACAAATTCAAATAAAAGAACCCAAGGACTGAGGCATGGACTGTGCTGTCCTGCTCATTTGGAGACATCATCTTAAACCTGAGACTCTAGGCTGTGACTGGATCTCACAAGTGCTTGGCACTTTCTTCTGCTGGATATATGTAACACATGACTCTGTGAGTTCAGGACCTTTCACTGTGACCTGTTCAGAGGAATGGTTGGGCATCCTTTCCCTGTATGCAGATTACTCTGTCATGTCACACTTATTTTGCAGAATTGAAGCTAGCATTCATTGGAACAGATTTCCAGACTGTTCTTAATACAAAGGAAGCCTCTGTGTGTTGTAGGAGTTTGAATGTTTGGAATCTGGTAACATGCATGGGCGTTATATGGCATTTCCCATACACACTGAGGCACTCCCTCTGATGAAGTTTAGATAGCATTGCTGCCTTCATTGCCTGAAGCAGGAAGGATAGATTATTAAATACCTGTTTTTAAAGAAATATCCATATTATCTCATATATAACATGCACCTTTCTCCCCAAAAACATCAGTCCCCCCAAATTGGGTGCATGTTTTAAGCAGGGAACCTGTTTTATTTTCTGCAAGAAGCCAGCTGGGAGAGGCATGCCATGCAGCTGCCAAGATGACTACAGTAGAGTCCTGTATTAATCTTCTTACAGCCATGACTATAAATCCTGTCACAGCCATGGCTATTGGCTGAGCACTATACCTTGTGTCTGAAGCAGCAAGTAAGCTGCTGGTAGTATCTTGATGAGGCTTGTGATGTGGAAACACTTTATTTACAGGAATTTACGTAAAGAACTACTTACAGTAAAGAACTAATTAGTCTTGCTACTGCCCTTGCAAGGGTCTGGGGTCTAATGTTGTGTGACAGAAAATAACTCCTCTTGGAAACATAAAGTATCCAGTAAGTATAGCTTCCAGGAGACAGTCTGGATGAGGCAGCTGTCACCAGGAACTTCCTGGTGCCACATGTCCTGGATACTATGTTTCCAGGAGGACTTACTGTATGTCACAGTTGGCTATGACTCTGGAAATGTCTTTTTTCTACATTCTGCCTTCCAAAAACAAGGTGTTTGTTTTATTTGGGAGGGTTATTATATGTGAGAAAATATGGTAAAAGCTCAGTTTTGAGCTGGTGAAAAGTGCCTGGCTGATAGTCTTGGAACCTGATGTAGCCTGGGTACACCCAGGGGTGTGCCCTGTCTGCCAGTGGAAGGGTTGGGGTGGTCAGGCAAGAGTGCTGAGAGACGGGCCTGCCACTGGGAACCAGGAGCAGTTCCCTCTCGTCTCTACAGAGCCAGGCCAAGACCAAGCACTTAACTATATACACATATATTGCTACAATAAATAAATATGAATAAAAAACATTAAATATTTACAGTAAAATCAGTATGTGACACCATATACAATAACCTGCAATCAACATATTGTACCACTTTGAGGGATTTCAAAAACATAAACCAGGTGATTCACAGCATATGCAATAAGTAACCTCCCTGCACAGAATAAGCATTAACACTTTGGAACAGATAAGTCAAGGCATCAACCCAATAAACACATATGAGCATCAATTTAGATAACCCAGGTAAAGTGAGGTAGCAATACCATAGATGTACACAGGCAACAATACAAGTATGTTCTGATAATAGGCAATAAACACACATAGGCAATGAAGACAGATAAACCTCTATAAACTCCCTTAAGGAATACCCAAAACTATATTAACCTCTACAGTACGAAAAAACAACAATCACAAAATAAGGGGGTGCACTCAGCACCTCAAGGGGGGTTCCCAGGAGCCCCTCCCCTTTAGGGCCCTGGGATGTGGACACACCCCTCCCACAATGGAGGAGGGTGGAGGTGGCAGACCCTCCTCTCCCAAGCCCACCTCCCCTGGGGGACCCGCTTCCCCAGCAACTCCCACTCCCACTCTGAAGCAGCCAAGGCTCGTCCCTGGTGGCCAGTCCCACAAGGGCCTCTCTCCGGTGGCGCCTTTGGCTCCTCTCAATGCCCCGCACTAGGTACCCTGGGTGCTCCCATGGGAGTCAAGCCCTTACTAGCTCTGGTTCCCCAGCCTCACACCAGGGGCCCTTCTCTTTCCCAGGCCCTGCTCTGGGCACCAGGGCTCTTTTAGTTTAATGCAGAGCCACACTGCGGGGCTCCGGTTACTTGGCTTAGAGCCGGGGCTAACTTGAGCAGCCTTGAGCTGCTCCCAGGGCTGACTCTCTGTGTGCTGACCTGCACACCGTGTGGGGCCCAAGCAGCCTCGAGTTGCTCCCAAGGCCAGCTCTCTGTGCACCAATCCATGTACCACCTACTCAGCCGCTTGCTGGGTTCGCAGGCTCAAGCCACCTTGAGCAGCTCATAGAGCCTGAGCACTGTGCGCTGAATCGTGCACCATCGAGGCTCAGGCTGAGTCCCGAGGACTGTCATCTCCAAATCTCCTCTCTCCTTGCATCTCTCTCCTCCCAGCTTGCTGAGCACACTCCCCTTTTATAGCTTTAGGGGCTCCACCCCCAAACTTCTCTGGACCTGGCAGGGCACAGTCTGGAATCAGATCCAGACTGCTCCTTGCCCCATCCCTTTGGGGAAAGGGCGTGGCCTTGCTTATCCTGGCTTGCTTCTGATTGGTGGATGGGTTCCTTCAATCAAAATTGCAGAATCTCAAGCCCAGGACTCATCCAGAGCTCAAAAAGTAAGTCTGCTACACTGAGATTCTCTAGCTGCTGAGCAGGTCTAGCAGAACCATTGGCATAGTTACATCCACTTAAAGCTCATCTTCACTCTAATTTGGAGACTCTTATCTTCAAGTGTGAGATGCTGATCAAGTCACCAATGCTCAGCCAGTCTTTGTTTTCTCTACTGACACTCTACTGAGTCTGTATCCCATTGTCAATTCTGTGAGTTATCCTGTTATATGAAAGATACACCTAAGAGGATCAGCATTTGATGGTTTAATACACTGTTCTATTTTCTCTCTGCAGCAACCCCTAAGGATGCGGTATCTGCATCATTTACTGACCTTGGGAAATAATTCACTTCTTAGGCAACTTTATTTCTGACAGGTTTGTGAAAATGGGGCTTATGAACTGCAGTGCATCTTCTTGTTTCACTCTTCCCTGACAGAGACATTTGCTCAGTGAGTTATGTGGCTTCCCACACTGGGAGGCAGCAATTTCTGTATCCCTCTGGAACCCACATATTGCTTCAGCCTTGGGCACTTACATCAGTTCTGAACAATGGGGGTTCTGATTATGTCCTTTCTTTCTCTTTTTGCAGATGGATTAAGTTTGAGGAGAAAGTGGAAGATGGGGGCGAGAAGTGGAGCAAACCTCATGTCACAACCCTTTCCTTACACAGTCTGTTTGAACTAAGAACATGCATAAAGAAAGGGACTGTCCTCCTGGATTTAGATGCTCACAGCTTTAAGCAAATAGTTGGTATGTAGAAACTGTGGAGAAATCACTTCTCTGGGATGCAGCCATCCTGGGCTATGTGTTGGGTTACTAGGAGCTCCTTAAATAAAAGCATTGACATTTGATAGCAAGGTACATACATACTGGACTTTATTATTGAGACAGCAATAGAACCTCAAGGTCCCAAGTGAGGCCAGGGCCTTATTGTGCTAGGCAGTGTGCAGACACATTGTAAAACCCAGTCCTGCAAGCTTTCTGTTTAAATGGACTAAACAGACAAAGGAAGCCCTGTGTTAAGGTCACGTCTGGATTCTGCAGCAGAGCGGGGACTTGAGTTCCATCTAGGGTGTTGTTAAGTAGAGCCATAACCGTAAGTGCATTTTATGTCATGACTTTAAAGTCTTGTCCACAGGGCTGAGTGTAAAATCTGGTACAGAGTATTTTGGAGACATCTCTTCTCCAGTTGTTTCAAAGTCCTGGCTGAGAATCTGGGAGATGTCTTCAGGATTACACTAAAATCAAATGTAGCATCATTTCACTATCCAAATTACTAGATGTTTTTCCTACTATGACAGTGCAATTTTCTTAGTAATCAGTAGGTTTCTTCCATCTTTAGCTTTGATAAGTCCATTGACTTGAATGGAAGCTCTGGGTGTGGACTAAGGATAATGTAAAGGCCTGGGTCTTTGGGGTATCTTTGTTAGGGCTCCATAGGAAAGAAGATTAGGACTAAGATGCCAATTGAGGCAGGAATGTAAGCTACCTACATTGCATATTGTATTGATGGGTTTGATAGACTCTGCATCACTATACCCACACCAGGTAGAAGATAAGTCAGGGTGGCATCTTCAAGACTGGTTGTTTCTGAGAGGCATAAGCCTTCATATATGACAGCCTGCTTCATCAGATGCTATGAATGGACTTGAAGAAGGAAAGGGCTTTTAGTATAAGAAATCTAAATACAAAGGAAAGGGGAGGGGGGGAGAAGGCACTGCTGATAAAAACAAAAAGTGAGTTGAAAAGGTCAATAGAGATAAAAAGGCAGCAGTTAACACATAAAGTCATATAGAAATACACAGGTGGAATTAAAAGCTAGTACAGGTAATGGAATAAGAAACCATTCTTTATTGAGAATATGTTGAGAACACTATCCAGTCTGTGGATGATTTCTTGTCCTGCAATTTCATGTTCAAGTTGTTTTTAAAAGCTTTTGTTTAAGGACAGCTACTCTGAAGATAGAGATGGAATGTCCGGGGTGGTTTAAGTGTTCTGCCATGGACTTCTGTGTGTTTTTGGAATTGATGCCAAATCAGGGGCCATTTATTCTTTTACATAGGGATTGCCTCATCTGGTCAATATAGACAGTAAAGGGGCACTGTAAGTAGGTAATGGCATATATAATGTCAGTAGAGGAGGTGAACAAACCTTTGATGCTACATTTCATGCAGTTTTTTCCAGTGATAATTTGGTCTGTGTTGATAAGGGGGCACACCTGGCATCTGTAGCTCCAATTCTCATCTGGTGAGAATTGGAGCTAAGTAATCTGTTGCTGGAGAGGCATGATTTGAGTTGGGAGGCTTGTCCCCCTATGGCTACCTTGGGAGGATGATCATTTTTCAGGAGGGGTGGGAGGTCATCAATGATGTGTTCCAGGTATTGAAGCTGGGAGCTGTAGATCAGTGGTTCTCAACCTTTGGTATCTTACGTACCCCCTGCCGATTGACGCGGCAAAAGCAAAAATGGAAGTCCCACCATGGCACTTCTGGTTTTGCTGCCACGAGCTGAGTCCCACTTTTTCCACCACGACCCAGGGCACAGCCTGTGCGGGGCCTCCCTCCCTATCCCCCGGCACACTGGCGCTGGGGAGTGAAAACCCCGGTATGCTGGACACAGTGAGAGGCGTGGCAGCCAGAACTTCCAGCCTGAGCAGGCAAAGACACCTCCAACCTGCTGGGTGGTGGGGCTCGGCCAAAACCAAAATGCAGCCCCCGTGTACCATGGCTTGAGAAACACTGCTGTAGATGACAGCCAGAGGGATTCTATTGTCCTTGTCACAGGGTTGGTATTGTAGTAGGTCAAAGCAAAGCCTGAGCCTGGCTGTGTTGATTCAAGAGGCTACAATTTTGGGTTTATACTGTAAGTGTAGAAAGCCCTGCTCCAGATCCCTAAGGTGTGCAACCTGGTCAATGGGATCAGAGCAGATTCAGTTGTCACTCAGAGCTTAGCTGTAAATTATGGATCTAGTAGAGTGCATAGGATGAAAGCTAGTGGTATGGGGGTAGCTGTAATGATCAGTTGTTTTTTGGTTTCCTATACAATGTACACTATTGCCTACAAAAGCTCATGCCTTTCTGAACCAGTTCATTTCTAAGGTGCCACCCTGCCCTACCTTCTACCAGACTGCAGACAATAGAACTAACTGCCCAAGCACCAACCCAAATGAGAGCTGTGCTCAGGAGTTCTACTCCTTGAGTCTAGGAATGAGTCTGGGGTTAGGATTCTATCTGTTGAACTTCAACATCCAAACATCTCCAGATTTCCCCTACTGCCAGTGTTGTATTTCTTCTACTGATCTTGGTGTAGCAGGGCACTAAGGTGCCTGCTACGTGGAGAGCTGGGATAACTCCTCAGGTGCTCGTTGATGAGGCAATTAGAGGGAACTAATGACCCACACCTGCCTAGCCAGCTGACAAGAAGGGGCAGGGCCTGGCTCCTATATAAATCACAGGCAGGAGGCCAGGAGGCAGTTCCCTGCTGGCAGACAAGGAGGAAGGAGCTCTGCCTGCGCGAGCAGAGGCCTGAATGTATCAGCAGTGAGGCTGGTAAAGGATGGAGCACCCTAGGGGTGGCTGGATTAATGTTACAGCCGGATGGCTGGAGTTTGTGTTGTAGCCCAGGGGCTTGTGTTTTGTGTGCTGGTTGTAACCGGTGGTTTGGGTAAGGCTAAGAGGGGATGGAGGAGGCCTCATAGGGGACCTGCAGCAGCATGGGAACCCTAGCCCCAGAGAGAGAGGGGGCAGCGAGAAGCCCCAGAGAGGGGCAGCGATTGCTGAGTGCCGGAGAGGGTGCAGAGAGAGACGGGGCCGTGGAGAGCCTGAGCGCCAGAGGGGGCGCAGAGAGAGACCGAACAACATCAGTTACATCTGCGAGGCTTGGGGTGTGGTACAGGGGTGGTTGGAGCCACGCATAGCCCGTAAGGCTGGGGTGTACAGAACACCCAATACAGGAACAGGATGAGTGATAACAGGAGAACCGTGGCCAAGAGTATGAAGGGCAGCCTCCCTATAAAATACATAGGACATCAAAGTAGTGGCAGGGAAGAATCTGAGGGTGCTTGTCGGCAGCTTGGCACAGTAAAGGAGGCGGCAGGGGAGAGCACGGCGACCCTGACCGCCTTCCTGTTACACTTGGATGCAGAATTTTATCACTTTCATCAATTTATGACCATGGCACTGACTCACTTCAAAGCTACACCAGAGGAGCACCAATACCCAGGAAATCCATATGGTTGAATGAATGCACTTTGAGAAGGGGGAAAAAAAGTATCTGCCACTTAAACGAAATCACTGATGTCATCATTTTGCATTCAAGAGCAGGTGATTGCTGTTCAGATTGAGGAGCACACCCTGAGACCAGAACTGAGGAAGAAGCTCACACATGTGCTGCTCCGCAGACCCCAGCACCACACCACAAAGTCTGAGCTGAGGGCAGTGGCTGAGCTCACTGTTGCCTCCTGCAGAGGTAGGGGCTCAAATCCTTGAAGCTATGTCACTAGCTCTAAACTGAAACAGAACAGGACCCTAAGCTTAGAAAACATCTGCTAGTATGAATCTTTTAAAAATTAATGAGTGGAAACTTAGGGACCAGGTCCTGACCTGAGAGCAGGCTGCCAGACAGAGTCTGACAGACATTCTAGCACAGTTAATGCCGTGGTTTGGTACATGCTTAATTTGCCACAATTAAGCATTTTGGCAGACTTCATTTTAGTGTCTCAAGATTGGAGCATTAATGGATGCATTAATGGAGGGCATTAATGGAGTGCCCTCCATTAATGCTGACTTTCTGAAGGAACATCTTGAGAAGCTGGATACCTTCAAGTCAGCCGGCCCTGACAATCTTCACCCCAGGGTACTCAAGGAGCTGGCGAGCATCATAGCCCAGCCCCTAGCACGGATCTTTGAAAACTCTTGGCGCTCTAGTGTAGTGCCCGAAGACTGGAAGAAGGCCAATGTGGTGCCTATCTTCAAGAAAGGGAGGAAAGTGGATCCGGCTAACTATAGGCCCATCAGCCTGACTTCTATCCCGGGGAAGATCTTAGAAAAGTTTATTAAAGAGGCCATCCTTAATGGACTGGCCAACGCCAACATCTTAAGGGATAGCCAGCACGGGTTTGTTGCGGGTAGGTCTTGCTTGACCAATCTCATTTCCTTCTACGACCAGGTGACCTATCACCTGGACAAGGGAGAAGAGATTGATGTCATATATCTTGACTTCAAAAAAGCCTTCGATCTGGTGTCCCATGATCGCCTCTTGGAGAAACTGGCCAATTGTCGCCTTGGGTCCTCCACGATCCACTGGCTGGAAAATTGGCTCCGGGGTCGGACCCAGAGGGTAGTAATCGATGGAAGTCACTCATCGTGGTGTCCTGTGACCAGTGGGGTCCCCCAAGGCTCTGTCCTTGGACCCATACTGTTCAACATCTTCATTAATGATGTGGACACTGGAGTCAGAAGCGATC